GGCAAATATACCTTTGTCAGAAGAGTGTGACTTTGAAATTGGATCGTACCGTGGGGTTTATTCATAACATTGTAAGAAAAATTTGCAAAATTAGTCCTTACATCACTTTAGGGACCCAGAAAGAATAAGGTTACTATTCAAGATGTTCTGATAGTTTCTAAACTTGGTCACATCAAAAATATTCACAAATACAGTTTTGACAGAATTTGCTAAATCTATTGCTACGACCAAATGGGCTTCCTTGATTTAGATTCTGTTTCCGACGGCAAGATATGTGGGCTTATTCAAAATAGATTCACTTAATTTATTCGACCAAGGCTACACTTTCGTTCATCTTTCTGTGTGTGAATGGTTGTGTATGCGTGGACATACCATGACTCAATAATTTTCCCTCTCCTTTCTCTCGTGTGCAGATGTTCCTTAAAGGCGACCTACCCATTCTCTGCGACGAGGCGTTCACGAACGCGGTTCATCACTTCTACGAGGTCTTCTTGAAAAGCGACCGGGTCAACAGCATGATCAAGAGTGGAAGCTGTTCAATGCGAGACCTTCGGGAAGTCTTTATTTCCAGCATTGAAAGCCGAGTGTGTTTTTATTTTTGGCCTTTTTCTATTCTCTTATGTGGACTTTATTATATTATTTTAACCGCTGAATCCGATTTTTAGCGCTAAAAAAGGTAAACTGTGTTTTCGGCAATTTGGTTTTCATCTGGTTTGCCCAACAGCAGAAAAATGCAAGCTGCAAGCTTACAATCGGACTATGGAATAAAAACAATGTGTATGTGATACGGATGTACGCAAATTGTTGAATATGTCAACAGTCTTCAAAGGATATGTGTTGCTGTGTGGTCCTATTATCAACTACCTCAAGAGGACTATTAGTGTATCTTGGAGACCGCACATTTGTTATAAAAGCACCGCTTGATTGAGCATGTATGGTTATATGCATAAATGTATGTGAATGTGCCAATATATGTGTGTATTTGTGGCGACAAGCATTTATGCTT